AAAACTGCTATTTTTGCACATTTAGCTCTGTATCTTCGAAATGGCTGGGCCTGCTATTGCCAAAAACTACAATCACTTCTCCCAATCATTACTAATTGAATGTTTTTTAGATCATTTCAATCGGATGCTCCGTTTCTCTCAAAAACTGGATTTCTATTTTCTGCACTCTTTGCTCCGTATCTCCGAAACGGCTGGACCTGCCTTTGCCAAAAACTAATCAGCTCTTCTCCCTATCGATAGGAATCGAATGTTTTTGAACCATTCAAATCGGTTGATCCGTGCGCCCGGAAACGTGACTGGAAGTTTGTATCCATACATACATACACACACACACACATCCATTTTTTCTGAGGTATGCCAAAATGTTCAGAAACCTTCAAAACGTCGAGAAATGCAAAAAATTTCAATTTCGATTTTCGGCCCATTACGATAATTACCCTACGGGAAGTTAAAAATAAACAATAAATAATAAAAATGTATAGTTAAAATTCAGAGAAAAACATTCACATCAATACATTTTTAACTTCCCGTAGCGCAAGTTATAGTAATCGCAAAAAAATCGAAAATGAAAATTCTTATATATCTTTACGTTTCGAAGGTTTCTGAACATTTTGGCATACCTTAAAAAAATGGATGTATGTGTGTGTGGGTGTGTTGTGTGTGTGTGGGTGTATTGTGTGTGTATGTGTATGTGTGTATGTATGTGCGAATACAAATTTTCGTCGACGATTTCGGGAACACTAATCAACCGATTTGAATAACTTAAAAAACATTCGATTCGTATTGATAAGGAAACGTGCTGATTAGTTTTTGGCAAAGGTAGGTCTAGCTGTTCCGAAGATACTGCGCAAAAAGTGCCGAAAACGGTAACTCAGTTTTTAAGAGAATGGAGCGTCCGATTTGAATAGTTCAAAAAACATTTTATTTGTATTGACTAAATGAAGAACTGTTCAAAATTTTGGAAAGGCAGGTTCAACGACTTTGGAGACATGGAGGAAAAAGAAAAAAAAAATGAGCCATTTGGCGGTCAAAAATGATCATTAGACATATGCACATCAAATTATCAGATATTTAATAGAGATTTAACAAAAAGTATAAATTTTGTTTACATTCCCATGAGTTCCGTACCAATGTTTACGCGTTAGACGGTGATGGGGCACTTACGCGCTTTGATATTTCGTCTTTATGCAGTGAAAGCAGTACGATTGCTTTGAAAAAACCTTCAGAATTTCCAAAATATGTCAAAATGAAGAAAAAAACATTTTTCTTTTCAAAAAAAAAAAAAAAAATTTAAAAAGTTATTTTTGTCAAATTGATAGTGTCGCAAAAATCTAATTTTTTCGAAGTAAATTTTTTTCAAAAATGTTAATTGTTTTTAAGAAAAATAATAATTTTTGGTACGGAAAGTTCCAGCAATTTGCCTTAAGGCACGATGCCTTAATTGCCTTAAGACAGAATTCTACGTACAGCTAGTTAATTCGACGGTTGGGCTGCATATAATATATAAATTATATATATAATATATACATGTGATATATATATATATGTGATGCAATGTATGTTTTACATACATTAGCAACTATATTTATGATATGTTGTGCGCCCCTTCTTCCGAAGAAGTGGGGCTTTCCAAAAATTTCTCTCCCAACAAAGAGAAGAACTATTTTTTCATCTTAGCTGCCCGTCCGTTTCCCATTGGTCATTTATTTATCTCTGACCAAGTGACAAAAGGACGAGCCACCTTTAACCTCTCCTTGTTGAGAAAGTGCAGGACAAGGCAAAGGACAAGGCGAAGGCAAAGGCGAAGACGTAGACCATCAAATGTATCCACATACGGCAGTACTCTGCGGCGTGTGTTACAATACGAATACGAATACGAATACGAGTGCGACATCTCTTGTATTCCCAAACAACTTTGAATATTGATAAAAGGCGTATGGTTTTTCTTATTCGATTTTATGATATTTTATTGTTACACCTTAATAACATGTTATATATAGATTAAGATTGAGATTAGATTAAGTTGTAATATATTTACATTAACTAGTGGTGTATGGCATCGTGCCTTAAGGCAAATTGCTTGAACTTCCCGTACCGTAATGAAATATTCGAGAAATTTTAAACGTTTTCAAATATGTTATTACAAATACTATAACTTTCATTATTTTTGCTATCTTGTTTATTATATCTGAGCAAATCAAATGTAAATCATAAATCAATTTATCTCCAGAACATTAACAATCGTCATTTCATTTCGAATTCAATTTCAAAACAATAGTTGCCTAATAATTTACACAAAATTGGAAAAGTGCTCCTTATAGTCCGAAAATATCCGCTATATTCGCTGAAACATTTTAAATACAATTTTCAGATATTGGCGACAGGAAGGTTTTTTCCTGTCCTATTACCTATTTTCACTGGTAAACATATTACCATTTATATTTTCAAATAAAAACTGATGTCACTTTTGATTGGCATCTGGCTGCCCGAGCCTTGAATAACTCCAATCCACATATAATAATAATAATAATAATAATGATATTTTTTTAAAAGAAATTTAAAGTGCCAGTTTAAAGTTACACAAGCTCCTGAGGGTATTCACCTACACTTATCTCAAATCTGAATGTAAACAAGCTTATATTGTGCAATTTGAACATGTATTATACTTATACATATGTGTGTATGTATATAGACCTTATGCAAAGTGTAATAAAAGATACATTTTTCGTACTGATAAAGCGAATATTATGTCTGTGCCAAAGAGAGGTGCTCGAACGTGCCTGTAAGCACTTACGGTATTATATTAGATATAGAGAGAAGCGATAAGAGATAATAAAGCGAAAACATTTAAGTTCAATTGCAATACCAATAACATTACTTCCTATCTCAAGTATGCAAATAAATCAATTTATACATTTCTCATACATATATTATCGCATTTTTAGCGATAGAGGTGAGAGGCAGGGCTGGATTCGAAAAAATATAATAGAAGTAGATCAACGATAATTAAAGTCGAATTTTTTTAAATATGTGCCAACTGATGAATGTTGGCTCGACCAACCATTGCCAAGCATTAGACAGAACAAACCCCAACTTGCCTTTGAAAATTTGTTTTTTTTTTTAAATAATAATTTGAATGCTGCCAATATATTTTTAACTTTCTTTTAAAGAAATCATAATTTACATCTTAATTTATTAATTAATATGATACATTTTATATGGCTATAAATTTGACTATTGAATGGAAAATCAACTATTAAGTTATTTTTTCAACGTTCTCAAGAATTTTGAATTTTTTAAAAAAAATCGTTTTTTGAAAAATTTGTTTTTTTTTATATTTTGAAAATGTGAAAATTTTTAACTTATTTTCGAAGCAATCACGCTGCGTAGTTGTTTAAATTTCGAAGCGCATAAACGCTGCGACGCAGTCTTGCAGATAAACATAGGTACGGAGCCCACAGAAATGTGAATTGTACTTATTATTAAAATCTCTATAAAATATCTGATAATTTGATGATCATGCCAAATGGCATTTTTTTATTTTTTCTCCGGAACCGTTAGACCTGCCTTTCCAAATATTGAATCAAGTCTTCCTTTCGCCAATATAAATAAAATGTTTTCTGAATCATTCAAATGGGACGCTCTGTTCTCTCAAAAACTGAATTATCATTTTTGGCACTTTTTGCCCTGTATCTTTGAAACGGATAGACTGGACCTGCTTTTGCCAGAAAACAGCACGTCCCACCATCAATACGAATCGAATGTTTTTTGAATTATTCAAATCGGTTAATATGGTTCCCGAAATCGTCGACAAAAATTTGTATCCGCACACACACACACATCCATTTTTTCTAAGGTATGCCACAATGTTCATAAACCTTTGAAACATAGATATGTATAAAAAATTCTTTTCTTTAAGATTTCTTTCTTTAAGTTATATTCTAAGTTGAAAAAAGTAATAATAATAATAAGAAAAAAACAATTACAAAAAAACCTTGTAATAAATTTTTGTAAATCTGGTTTTCCGAAATGGAAATCTAAATTGGGAACTCGAATTAGATTTTTCTTAAAAATTATGTTGTTCCATAACAACAGGTTCCAAGCTCTATTCGCGCCTCGGAACGCTTGGTATCAAGCAGTAGTGATATCAGTTTTCACTTGAATATAGATCTTAATATGATCTCAGGTAAAAATAGCCTCTCGGGGCATTGCTGCAATATATTACAACCAATAAAGAAAGTAACACCGGGTTGACTTTTAATACATTATCTCTTTTGGTTCAGTAGAAAGTGGCATTCTTACGAAATAATTGGATTAAGGTCGTGGATGATGAACCTAAGGTATAAACTGTCATATTTTTTTGTTTATGAATAGTAATCAAAACTTAACAGTCCTACAAACTGTTGTAATGATAACTGCATAGACTTTTTCAAAGGCCACCCCATGCTTGCTCTATCCGTATTCAATTTATTTTTATTTATTATAATTTCTCTAATGGACACGATATATTTTAAAATTAATACAGCAATGCCGGTAAGGGCGTATTATTACTTGAAAATATATTTTCAAATTAAAACAAAGCTTGATTCAGACAACTTGATCACAAATGCTTGATATCAGGTTGTCTGAATCGCGGGTTTGAAATAAGACTTCGTGTTCACAAAACCAGGAGCTTACCACAGTGCTACAAACTCTCTATTTATTGTATTTAATTACACATTAATATCAAAGGCAATTAATAAATCAAATTTTCTGCATTTTAAGTATAAGCACTAAATCTTATTCTGCCTTCAACATTGTATAATATTGTCGAATAAATTTTGAAATATAGGACACGAATATATAATTTATATTTTTCTTGGCTGTGATTTGGCTACTTGGCATTTTTCCAAAACTGTTATAACATTATGGTTATAGAAATCGTAACGGTTGCAACTGCGGCGGGAAGACACTGATTTTTTTATTTTGGATTCATCCAGCATTTTGGAAATAATAAATCTAGTGGTGAATGGCATCGTGCCTTAAGGCAAATTGCTGGCAAAAATTACCATTTTTGGCACTTTTTGCCCCGTATCTTCGAAACGGTACGACCTGCCTATGCCAAAAATTAATCAGCATGTCTCCTAACTAATCAAATCATTATTCGAATTGGTTCATCCGTGTTCTTGAAATCGTCGACGAAAATTTGTATCCTCACACACACACACACACACACACACTCACACCTACACCATTTTCTTTTTTTTTTGCGACTACTTTAACTTACTCTGCGGGAAGTAAAAGGATATATGGAAATACACTTGAATCCAATAATTGGACACAAATTAATATGGCTGTCTGATGTGAAAGACAACATCAATTAAGATATCACATTGAAGAAACCCTTTTTATTTTATTAACTATTTACAAAGTTATAATGAAAAAAAAAATCGCCGCGTAATGAACCACCTGTAAACCATTATTTAATCAAAATAACGACTAAATTTTCCGAAATTTGCTGTGGAAATGGCCATGGCAGCTCAAGAACCGATGCAATTGGTCAATGTCAATTTGTATAATAAATTTTGTATCCAAATTCCTTGTGTTTTATAAGATTAGCATTGCTTGGACTTTAATTTTAAAATACTATATTCCCAGTAAATGCCAACGATAGATACATCTCATGGAATGTTTTTGGAATTTTAAAAATAAGTTCAAAATTTTTTCAACACTTGATCGCAAGACTTCACCGATGTTAGCCTATATTTAATTCCTCCAACTTTTATTTTTAAATTTTTGAAAATTAGTTTAGGACTTATCAATTATAAATACGAAAATGAAGTTATATTTATATTTAAGTTATATTTAACTGCAAATTAAAAAAAATTGTTTGGTTGGTCACACAAGACTAAAGAGATAATTTAAAATGCTCAATGTGATTGGCATTTTTAAATAGTTCATAGAATATTTTTAAGGAGTTAATTCCAAGAAAACAGTTTCAACAGCTTCAATTTACTACATAAGTTTTTGCGATTCTATTATTTCAGAAAAATTTCAAGAAAAAAACGTGTGCAGAAGAAATTTTCCTTAAGTGTTTGCAAAAACTGATTTTCCCTAACAGCCTGATTTTCTTACAATTAGTCTCATCGTCAGTCATTTATATCTAAAACGCCTAACTGCACAGCAACCACATATCAATTTGACAGTTTTTAGTACCATTTTATATGAAAAACGGGCCATAAATTCGCCTTTCCGTAACATTGGTCTATTTTATGGCAGAATTGGCCGGTTAACATATTCCTCAACAGTTTGAAGAAACAACTCTAACGATTTCCATTAAAAAAAATCGTATATTATCGTTGAAATCTATTGCAGTTTTAATATATGAATTTTAATTTCCTTAAAATCGGTACAGTAGTGTTCGAGAAAATGAGAACAAAATGCAAAATTGTTATGAACACACATGCCGAAATCATATGAGCAAGTTGTATTGTATGTTTTTTTATATATTAAGACTTCAATAGAATTCGATCCATATCCTTAAAATCGGTACAGTAATGTTTGAAAAAATGGGAACAAAATGCAAAATTCTCATAAGCACACATGTCAAAATCACATGAGCAACTTGTATTGTATGTTTTCTTTTCATACAATTATAAAATATCTATCTTTCCATTTTCGTTAACTAAATCTCTTTTAAATTAACTAAATCGAGTTGTATTTAAGCCAGTTTCGTCTTTCCGTACAACATTAACTACAGGCTAAATACTTGTAAAGACATTGGAACGATCGGAAAAAGTAATTTGTCTAGAAAGACTTTTGTCAAAGGAGAGAAATAAAACATAAAATACAGGAAACTAGTATTCACCATCTATTTTCGGTAACTCTCTTTTATTTTGGCTTTGATATAGGGAAAGCTGTGGCGTAATGGACAGATTGCTCTACGACTTTCTTCCGAAAAACAAAAATGAAATATCGAAATCTAAATATTTACAACAAAAGTACTTTTTGAAAAAATACCTATAATTTACAAACACAAATATCTTGTAAATTTTAAAACGAGTATGAAATTTGATTTATAGAAAAACACTAATTATATTAGATTTCTGATTTCTAAAACTTAAACATACTCGTATATGATATTTTATATATTATAAAATTTATGTAAATCAGTAATGGAATTCCTACAACATATTATTATAACATATTAACCAACGTTTCAATTTCATTACTTTGATAAATCTAAATGTAGTGAGTTAAATAATGATAATTGGATTTACATTATATGTTGGTTTAAAACATGAGAGATGTTTTCAGTTTTTTTAGATGTAAAAACTCAAGTTATTTATAATTTGGTATACCCATACTAGAAATCTGTAAAAGTTTCTATTAACTTCCCGTAGGGTAAGTTATTGTAATCGTCCAAAAATCGAAATTAATAATTTTTGCATAACTTCACGTTTTGAAGGTTTCTGAACATTTTGGCATTCCTTAGAAAAAATGGATGTGTGTGTTTGTGTGTGTATGGATACAATTCTTCGTCCACGATTTCGGGCGCACGGATTAATTGATTTGAATGGTTAAAAAAACATTCGGTTGGCCAATTCATAGGAAGATGCGCTGATGTTTTTAAAAAGGCAGGTCCAGCCGTTTCGGAGATACCGAACTAAATGTGCAATAAATTGCTGTCTTTGAGAGAACCAAGCACCCGATTTGAATGATTCAAAAAACTTTCTGCTTGTGTTGAGAAAATGATTGCTTTTGGGATTTTTTTTCCAAAAAAAATTTTTTTGCCTTAAGGCACGATGCCATACACCACTAGTTTATTTATTGTATTCCATGTAATTTGATAATTTTTTACCATCACAAATAGTAAATTAGTTTTCTGTTATCACCACAAATAAGATTTTATGGAGGTAATATAAAAAAACTGTTGAATCTAACTTAAAAATAACAATACATCTCATCTTATAAAATAATTAGAAAATTACACAAACAACAGAGCTCACAACCAAAAAAAACTAACAACGAAAGAAAATACTTTTGTTATAGATTTTCAAAAATTGCCGTTTATCTCCTGATAGCGACAAGGTGATGGCTGGTTACACATCTTTTGCCCTCTACTTTCAAATTTTTTTCAAACTTTACTTGCTTTTGAAATATTGGTGATAGACCTATATACAGTCTTAAACTTGTGATTGAATTACGCTGTGCCACGAACAAAAAATTCTAGATATTTCGAACTTAATATAATTTTGTGAATAGGTATTCATTTTGGACGTGTCGGAACTTTGTAAGTAGCTCAATCTGAAAAATATGTCTTTGGTCGACAGTTTTCCCTATAATAATATGTATATATATATATATATATATATATATATATATATATATATATATCGTTTGTAGGACGTAAACACAAAAATACAAAGAGAAATAAAAGCTAAAAGTCTCTTAATAGGGTTCCAGAAATATCACACGCGGCGTCACCAACTGTCCTAACAAATTTATGCATACAAATATACAACATATATATATATATATATATATATATATTTATATATATACATATATACATATATACATATATAAATGTATGTATGTATGTTTGTATGTTTTACAATATTTTATATATCCTGCCGGAACTCAAATGTGTGAATTTATGCACTTTCTGCAAAAACGCCAAAACAGGAAAATCCACTTATTTATATCAATACTTTGATTTTCATTAGAGAAAGCAGTCAATGAAAAACCAGATTCAAAAAAATGGAATGTAAATAATATTGACGACTTTGATAAAACTCGTTACATGTCATCTGTAAACCAGGATTGCAATAGTATCATAATAAAATTGAATTGAAAACTAGTGGTGCATGACATCGAGCCTTAAGGATAATTGCTAGAACTTCCTGCACCGAAAATTAAAATGTTTATAAAAGTTTTAGATTTTTTTTGAAAACTTCAAAAAAATTTGATAGTTCAGAATTTTTGAAAAAAAAAGACTTAATTTTTCTTTCATTGTAAATTATTTTTTAATTTCGGAAATTAGTCAAGTTTTCACAAATCAATCATTCAAACTAGGCACCGTTTTATCAAGAACTAAATTACCATTTTTTGCACTTTTTGCCACGTATCTTCGAAACGGCTGGACCTGCCATTGCCAAAAACTAATGAGCACGTCTCCCTATCAGCATGAATCGAATGTTTGTTGAATTATTAAAATCGATTGATCCGTGTTCCCAAAATCGTCAACAAAACTTTGTATCCGCACACACAGA